AGGAAGCTGAGGTCAGACCCCTGCGATACAGCTGCGCAGAGCTGCGGAGGCCCCCCCCCCTTACAATCACAACATTTTGAAGGGGCTTCTCACGGGCAAACAGGAGAGCGAGTGGGGACAGACAAAGAGCGGCAGAGAACGAGCCCGGGTGCATTTGCCAGGAGGGTTATGCAGCACAGGCAGGGATGGAGACCCGCTGCTCTCACAGGTCCACCTGACGGACACGGTCCACCCCTGCTTGTTGGGGACACCCTCAGAAAGGCCTGGAAGGAATCGAAGAGATTCTCTCAGCAATGTGTCCCCAGTCCTGCCAACGCCAAGCTCAGCCTGAAGGGGAGCAGGCGTGGCAGAGAGCAAGGGATGTCCACCCGTGAGAAGTGATAGGGACTTCCACTAGGATCCCAGTGCGCTGATGTCCCAACACACACTGATCTCCGCTCTAGGCTGCAGGAGGAGGGAGTGCTCAAAGCCAAGCTCTTGACCTTCTCTCCAGCAGCAGGGTAGAGCGGGGCAGGGAGCCCAACCACTAGAGCTTCCATCCTCTAGAAATTTAGTTTCATGGCTCCAGCAGAGGCGATGGAGACCTAATCACTGGCGCTGCCACTCTCCGTGGATGCCGGGGACTGGGGAGCCTGTCCTTGATAACCTGGAAAGGTTTCCTCTTCTTTTGGTGCCTCCGTACAGGGGCAAGGGAGCTGGGACCCTGGCATTCCATTCTTCTCATCCCATCACTCTAATGCCCTGGGGCCTCACTCAGGATCAGGGTCCCATTGCTCTAGGGGCTGGCCCTCCCCTGAACAGCAGGTAATCGCTTTGGGAGGACACTAATCTGAGCTGGATTTCCATGCTTTCCTAGGACAGTCTCTGGCTGCAGCCAGCTCCCCAAAGCTACCTTCCCTTCTCGGCCCTCCAGACACAGCTTTGAGAACGATCAATATGCGTTCCTAGGCCTGGAGGAATTCTCCTTCCTAAATAAAGCCACATCCATGTTCTCTTGAAAAACTCCCAGGCTGGAGGAGAAAAGCTTGGCAGCTGCGTGCAAAGGGGGGTGGGGGAGCTCTGAAAGGTGGTCGAAGCTCCCAATCCCTTAAACAAGGGGGGCTTCTATTCTGCAACCAGTTTCCAGGCAAATAAATTGAAACTGAAGTGACTTCCAATTCGCAAGGGGAGAATGCGCCTTCAGAAAAAGCGGCTTGCGATGGTGTATTTTCTCCTGGCCCCAGTTCAGAGAAACCCACAAGCAAACATATTTTTTGTATAAATAAGACAGTGTGTCTCGCCAGTTAAAGCAATTCAAACATGAATGTAGCAATTTAATTGGTGCCAATTACTGTGTCTCGGTAACATTAAGATTTCAGTCACAGCCCCTTAAAGTGCTGGGCAGGCCAAGAATATGAAGGCAGAGAACCCAGCACGCAGGGCAGCAGGAGACAGGCCTGCAGAATCGATCAGCCGGCTTAGGTTGCCTGCCAGGTCTCTGGCTACTGAGTGCCACTAGTAAGTGATAAACCCCCTTCTGGGCAGGGCAAAAAGTCCATCTGCTCCATGAGGTGTTGGAACCATGGGAAGCTTATTCTCTTCCTGCCCAGTGCCCACCCAGAGACAAAACGTTCCAGCTTGCTCGCATCTTGCCCTAAGTTCTTTGGTAAGAGGGACAGGAACTAAGGATTCTCCTCTTCAGATGTGGGCACAAGGTGCCTTGGGAACTGGGTTTTTGATCCAGGCCTGTCTCTGCTCCCGATATACAGGTACAATGTGCCAGTGCACTTACTCATCTGCACACCCTCCAAACAGGGCTTCGTTCCTGTTCCCACCCCCACCCCCAATTTCAGATTTGCTCCAGGGGCACACTATTGGGTACTCTAGTGCTGGGGAGAGGTGGGCGCAGCCAGGGATGTAGGAGAGCTGGCGTGATGGGTGTAGGCAGGTGTGATGCTCGGAGGCGGGCGTATGCCATGGCAATTGGGTACACTACAGGCATAGGAGAGCAAACACCACAGCGGGATATACGTCATTTACATCGCCTCTCACTGAATTTTAGTTGCCTGGGGGCATCATTTCTTATGGGGACTTGCCGGGGTTTGTTTTCTGCACCGGCCCTTTCAATGACAATCTGCTGACTCCTTATGTAACCATCCTCATTCTTACTGATCTCAGACATGGATCTAGCCCTCTGGGAAGGAGGGCAGTGCCCAGCCAGCAGGGAGCACGCTGCACGGTGGGGGAGGAGCAGCAGTGGTGTCTCCAGCACCCTGTGAGTGGGACATTCTGCCTGTGCTGCAGGGAGAGGCAACGGACTGGTATCATCTGTGCATCTTTCAGAGGGCAAGCTCCACCGCTGACCTTAGCACTTCCTCTCTCTCCACGCTGTCCCTTCTGCCCCTTCCTCTTCCAGTTCCTGCCCCCTTCACAGGGCACTGCGGGCTCTCAACACATGCCATGCAGCACAGCACTGCAAGGTGCAATTTGCTCCTGTGGCTGAAGCGTTGGATCGAGGCCCAGGAGAGATCTGGGGTCAATTTCCACCTCTGCCACAGGCTTCCTCTGCGACCTTAGGCAGCTCACTGACTCTCTGGGCCTCAGTTCCCCATCTGTAAACTGGGGATACTAAAACCTTCTTGGTCTGCTTAAGCAGGGAGCTCTCCTGTCTCTTGCTGGGTGTATGTGCCCCATTAGTACAATGGGGCCTGGATCTCACTCGGGGCCTCAAAGTGCTACCGCAATGAAAATAATAATGCTCAGTTTCAATATATTGCTCGGTTCCAGAAAGACACTGCAGCTCCAGACCCAGGCAGGCCCCGCTGGGGGGGTTGGAAGCTGAGGGGGCCAGAGGGGTGTTTGGTTCAGGGAGCCTAATTAGGCATTTGGGGGGTGGGGAATAACAACCCAAACCAGCCTCATTATGTCCTGTTTGCCCAGCAGAGCAGAAGGAGCTTTCTGGAGTGGTTCCAGCGCTTGGGGAAACAATACCCGGTTTATACAATCCCCTCAAAGATCCTCTTTGGGATTTCAGCCCCTTTGTTTAAACAAAACAAACAAACTCCCAGAGGCCTTCATTGACAGGACGTTGACAAAGCCAGAACAATCCCAGCCTTCAGGCGGCCTCCGGGCCAGAGCTGGGCTCCATCGAAGTCAACAAATGGGGCCAGGATTTGGTCCAGTCCCCAGCTCACAGCAGCAGACTCCCACCCACCCCCGTGGAGGGGTAGCTCAGGGCAGAGTGGAGCCTGCAATGCTCAGGTACAGTAGGTAAGAGCCAAACTTCACCCTGCTTCATGGGCCTGAGACAGTCCCCCCCCCCCAAGCCCCCCCCCCCCCCCCCCCAGCCTTACTTGTGTGAGTGAGGCCCACACACCTGAATCAGGGCTGTAGGATCAGGCTCAAAGAAAATGCTCCCCGTTTCTGCTGCTGGGCTGATAACCAGCAGGTCCTCATCTCAGCGCTGTCATAGGCATGGCTGTCCTGCCCAGCACTAATTCCCTTGGCTAATTGCAGGTTGCGACCGACACTGCATCCCGGGCCCCCATAGCCTTCGGAAAGTCCCAGCCTGCACTAATAACCCTCTGATGTGAGGCTAGAGAGTAGATGTGGCCACCTTCCCATCAGCCCCACCCAAGGGCTTGTTATTCATTCGGGAAGCCCTGCCTCCTTCACAGTCTCACTTTCAGAACATCATAGCCGCCTTGCCTGGCCCTGGCCCTCTCTCGCCTGACTCCCATTGAAATGGGAGGAGGGGAGGGGGGGACTGGAGCTGGTGCTTCACAGCTTTCCTGAAGCAGGGCCTAACATTTGCCATTACCCCCCTTCAATCCTTGATCTTTTGCAAAGCTCCCACTCAGACGAGCAGCACTCCGCTGCAGAGCCAGGCTAGACTAGACTGAATGTTGTGGCCGTTGACCAAAGACCACCCTTAAAAGCATAACTCAGCCGTCTCTGTAGAACCAGAGTGACACCCCTGCTTTCGAGTACCAGAGTACCGGCCATGTGGGTACCTGCTTCCTCCCACAGTGCCCCACCAATGTGACTTTCTTTGATGGTAATTCAATCTCTGGGGCCCATTCAGATTCCGGCCTCTCAGCTCAGACTACCAGCGAGCAGGTCGCTGGTGGTGGTGCTTTTTGTGACCTGAGCGCATATCTCCAGTAGGAACTGGAGGAAGACCCCGACTCACGCCCCAGAGAGCACTAAACAGCCATCCTGCTAATAATAATAATAAATAATAATATATGGAGATATCCTATCTCCTAGAACTGGAAGGGACCCCAAAAGGTCATCAAGTCCAGCCCCCTGTCTTCACTAGCAGGACCAAGTACTGATTTTGCCCCCTAAGTGGCCCCCTCAAGGATTGAACTCACAACCCCGGGTTTAGCAACCACTGAAACAAATGCCCAGGAGGTGAAAGGTCACTGCCCATCTCCTGAGCCCTCCTGTCCTGCTGCAGAGGCATTTCTCAGCCTTGTGTTTCCCTTTCGAGGACCAAGTCCTGGAGAGATGCTGCTAACCTTTGCAATTGCTGCCATCCCGGATCAGTGTGGGCTGCGCACAAGGGACCAAGCCATGAGCCCCAGAGGCGCGCGCTGCCCTTGGGACAAGCCAGCCAGATTTGTAGCCGTGGGGAAGATCCCCGCAGCCCTGATCGCTGCTCCCGCCCGGGGCACCACCAGCGGGCTCTGCAGGGGCCCCAGCTCACTTCCCCGGCCGTCCGGGCGGGATGCTGCGCCGCCTTGCAGCCCCCTCGCCCCTTCCCCGGCAGCTGGGCGCTTGGCAGCACATCCTAGGACCCGGGGCGAGGGCCAGGTGCGAATCCAGCTGCCTGGACTGGCGGCTTCCAGGCTGGGCAGCGGAGTCCCTTCTTCCCCGCCAGCCGAAAGCGGCTCCTGGCCGCGGGGCTGAGCGTGACCCCTGCCCCGCTGCCCGCCCCTCCCCAGCGGGGCTCGCCCGACGGGATTTCCAGCCACCAGAGCGCAGCGCAGCGCAGCTCTCCCGGGCGCGCCGCTTACCGTGCGCGGGGCTCGCTCCCCAGCCTCCAGCCGCGAGCGATTCCTCTCCCTCCGCCTCTTCTCCCGATCGCCCTGCCCTGCCCGCCGCCTGCCCCAGCGGCTCCGTGCCTCCCAGCTCCCGGCCGCTCCCCTGGATGGGCTCGGGCTCGGGCTCTGCCGCTAGCGCATCTCAGCGGACCCTAGAGCATCGCCGCGGGCCGTGCGCCTGGGGGCCCTTCCGTGCCGCGCTGCGGAGAAACAGCCCGGCAGCCGGTGGGAAAAAAATACAACTGGAAAAAGCACAGAACTTGGGGGGAGAGGCTTTGGTCCAATAGGCAAAAGGCTGGAGCCGTCTTTAAAACTTCTTCCCGTCCTTCCCCCGCCCCCTGCCAGCTGGAGCCTTTTCCAAAACTTTCGATTCAAAACAAACAAAAAGGAACCGAGCTCCAAGGGGGAGTTTCACTCAGAGCTGGGGCGGGGGGGGAGGGCTTGGACCTGAGCTCTGCACAGCTCCCAGCTCAAAGCAAAACAAAAGCAGAGACAAGCACCCTGCCCTGCCTTTCCTCCTTGGACTTGAGGAAACAAGAATGGGCTCAGCTCTCTCTCTCTCTCTCTGTCTGCTTTCAATTCTGGCCTTTCTCCCGGTCGTTTTTTCAACCCACCCGGCTTCCCATTTTCCCCCCTTTCTCAGGATATGAGGGGATGTTTAGAAAATCCACTGCCCACGCCAGCCGCTGACTCATGGTTGTATTAAAGAAGGCCTGTATTAAAGGGACTGCATGTGCCCTCCAAGGACTGCCACAGCGTCCCCAGCCCTGACAGAACCACTGTCGTGATGGCCCCGACTCAGATGCTGTCCCGGAGTCGTTTCTCTAGTGATTGCCTACATGCACGCATTAGCTGTACGGTTTTAACCAGGCTGCTGTAGAGAAAGTGCTAGTTCCAGGGCTTCATTTGTGCCAGGGCTTGCCACAGCAGAGCCCTGGCACCTCTGGGCTTGGCAGTTCAGAGCCCCAGCACCTCCGGGCCTGGCAGTTCAGAGCCCCGGCACCTCCGGGCCTGGCAGTTCAGAGCCCTGGCACCTCCGGGCTTGGCAGTTCAGAGCCCAGCACCTCCGGGC